CCCTGAACCCCTGGCCCCTAAACCCCTAAACCAATGAAAGCCCTAAACCCCTAAACAAGGGCCTTTCTGCAGCACGAAGAACCTGCCACAGCTTGTCTGGGCTAGGGTTCAGGGCGCCGGGCCTTTTTATTGAGAAGGGTTTGGTAACCTCAACCCCTAGAATTAGGTTAGGGTTTAGGGTTTAGGGTTTAGGGTTATGGGGACCCTCTTAAAGTCAATGTCAACTATAGAATCCTAATTCTGGAAGTTGGAGCAGCAGAGCCCTCTTAAGTTTTAGGGATCCAGGTTTAGGGTTTAGGGTTTAGAGTTTAGGGCTTAGGTTGTAGGACTTTCCCTCCGCTTGTGATTTTAGGGAGCCGGGATTACAGTCTTTCACAGTAAACGCACGGAATTTATCCCCTCTGCTGATATCAAAACCCCCACCCGCCTAAAATTGCATTAGTTTCGGGTTTAGGGTTTGGGGTTTAGCGTTAGGGGGGGTTCCCATGTTTGTTTGGGTGTATACAGGTCATAGCATCCATATATTGTACAGTCCATGAAAACCGGGAAAATGTTCGTGCCACGGAGCCTGTCTAACGTTAGGGTTTACTTAGCCCACATTACCCTAGGAAGAAAAAAGGATCCTTTTAACATAAATGTAGGGAATCCCATATCCCAAAAAGTATAAAGGATCCCTAACATTGATCCAGTTTAGGGTGTAGAGTTTGTCAAGTTCTCAGCTCCTTAGCACTTTTTGCGATCCGAGTTTCTCACCACTACACCTGCAGTTGGATTCCTTCATAGGGACCCGTCTACCCCCCAAACCTCTCCCGAAAAGGCCCAAACCCTAAACCCTAAACCCTGGGTCTCCAACAAGCTGATTTTTTAATGTTTGTGCCCTAGACTCAAAAGCTTGAAAAGCACCACTGCTGCCGAAGACTAACTCTTTTGCCTTTAGGGTCTGGGGTTTAGGGGATAGGGTTTAGGGGTTTAAGGGTTTAGGGTTTAAGGTCTAGGGGTTTAGGGATTTAGGGGTTTAGGGTTTAGGGGTTTAAGGGTTTAGGGTTTAGGGCTTGGAATTCCTTATTTGCACGTTTCGACAAAGACAAGCACAAGAAGACAAGTGGGTCTCTCCAACAACGGGAGTCCTCCTTAGAGACCGCAAAATGCACAATCCCCGATACACGAGTTTCTGCGAGTAGGGGGCCCCAGCAATGCATAGTGAGCATCAGGGGATTGCGGGGATCCCAGCTTCGAAGTATGTATATATGTATATATACATATATGTATGGAATCTGTCAAACATGCTCAAGGGCTCCCCAAAAAGGAAGCACATTTTTCAAAACCACAAAAGATGCTTTAAGTGGTAGCTGAAAGTCTCTAACGTCAGATGTTGTCGCCTTATGTGCCCTACACCCTGCACCCTCAGCCCTAAACCACATGAAGGCTGCCCTTGGGGACACTACGGATGGATAAGGCTTACAAGAACTTATGGGAACTCCTGTTTAGGATTTAGGGTTTAGGGAGTTTAAGAACTAGAGAGTTTAGCGCTTAGGGTTTAGGGAGTTTAGGGTCGTAACACACACTCTCAGATATGTTCCTGCCAGACAGGTTCATGTATGGGGAGGTTGGCAAAACAGGTCGGCCCTGGGTTCGAGTGGTTGTCAAAAAAGGGTCCGCCCTGGGTTCTCTTTGTAACAACTTCGGAGGTCAGCATGAGGGATTCTCATCGACTACCACAACAGGAAAACTCAAGTCCACCCTCCCTCTTGGGAAATCCCTTTTCACTTGCACATAACGGTTCTGGATTCAGCGTTTAGGGCTTGAACTGTAGGATATAGGTATCAGCCGGGCTCATCCCCTGAAACCTTGCCAAGGCCTGTCAAGTTGAAGCTTGATCCCCTCACATGCCCGCATGATAGTCCAAACCCTAAACCCTAAAACCTAAACCCTAAACATTCAAAGCCTTGCTACAGGGTCCGAAAAATGTCCATGATTTGTTCGAAGCCAAAAGCCAATGGGCTCTCCACATCTCCATCCGTGTCTATATGCCGCACCTGTATGAGCTACAGTCAATATTTCTCATATCATTCATGGACATGGGCTCCTACTAAGGATTTTTTAAAGGACTATACTAAACTACTAAACGGACCCCCATGTCCACCCTTAGTGGTACCTTGGTAACTTTAATTTTGACCCTAAACCCTAAATCCTAAACCTTAAACCCTAAACCCTCTCATATACAGCTTTCGGATTCCTCTAACTGTTGTTGTCCTGTCCATTACTGTCATTTGAGCCGTTTCAGACATGACTCACAAATTTGGGGAGTGTTTACGCTAACTCGTAATCATACAACAACAACAACTTTGGGATACGGATAAGAAAATTTTGAACTCTGAACCCTAAACCCGAAACCATCATGATCCTGAACCCTACACCCCAAACCCGGCTGTTGGCCTGCTGCCCCCTGGAGAGAACCGTCCGCCTCAGACACGTTGTCGGGCTTGTGGTTCGCGGCTTCGGGTTTAGGGTTGGTTGAGAGTACAGCCCCCCTTAAGTAGATAGAATATGGGGTATATGGGGATCTTAGTATAAAAAAAACCCATAGCCATATTCTGTCTACTTGACGGGCACTATAAACCCTAATAATCCCTATATATTCCCTAGTTTCCATTTTGTTTTCCATTTTCTTTTCCATTTGATTCTCCATTGTTGGGATTGTGGCTTTAGGGTACAGGGTTGCAAGTTAAGACCCTAAACCATTAAACCCTTAAACCCTAAACCCTTAAACCCCTAAACCCTTAGACCCTTAAACCCTAAACCCTAAACCCTTAAACCCCTAAACCCTTAAACCCTTCAACCATTAAACCCTAAACCCTTAAACCCTTAAACCATTCAACCCCTAAACCCTTAAACCCTAAACACTAAACCTTAGAGCTCGGGGCCGCTAAAAAGGCCATACTCTTTGCCGGACTTTGGCCTGTCCAAAAACAAGATTTCTCTGCTCTCTTGCTGCGAAGGTATAGGGTTTAGGGTTGAGGGTTTAGGGTTTTTAGGGTAGTTTCCCTAAACCCTATATAACCCCTATATGGGTGGTTGTCAACATCATGGTCCCTTTTAAAATCCCTATTTCAATACGGCACCTTAATATTTAGGGGTAAGAATAGTAATACCAGTAGTAGTGCCACAAATAGTATAAAGGCAAGCACGGAGTTTTGGGGGGGAGTTGCCCTAAACCCTAAACCCTGAATAGAAGTTTTCCTTGAAGTGTGGATTGTCCGACTGCATGCATAAATAGAAGTTTCCATTTTCTTTTCTATCATTCCAATATATCCCCAATATGCGGATCTGCCATCGCCACGGGACAGTCTTCCGATGGGCTAAGCGTGGAATCAACCATACCTCCCTCCCTAGACCTTGGCCGGTAAAATTAGGGGTACCTTTAAAGGGGTTATATAATTATATAGGGGGTATATGGGGGTTATGTTGGGGATTAAATAGGGTTTAGGGAAGCTACCATATGGGTGGTTGTCAAAATTATGATCCCTTTTTGGGTATATCACCCTATATTAATGAGAGGCACTACCATGTTTAGGAACTGCTATTTCTATGATTATCATTCTAAACCCTAAACCCTAAACCCCAAACCCTAAACCCCAAACCCTAAACCCTAAAGCCCTTTCATGTTCGCTTTGGGATGGCCTCCCCCCTGGCTGTTCAGCAAGTTGACAGAGGCAGGTGCAAAGGCTGTGCTCCGCTTGGGCTCAGGGCTTAGGATTTAGGATTTGGGGTTGAGGGTTTAGGGCCTTTAGGGTTTAGGGTTTCAGGATTTAGGGTTTAGGGTTGAGGGTTTAGGGTTGCAAAAAATGACAAAAGATATCAATATGATGATGGTGATGATGATGATGATGATGGTGATGGTGATGGTGATGGTGGTTGTGGTGGTGGTGATGATGACGAGATGATACTGATACTGATACTGATGTTCATAGTAAAACGAAGAAGGCCGATGAATCATAATGATCGTAATCATGGTAGGGTAAAACTTGCAAAATTGTCTGCTGGCATTGCGGAAGAGGTGCGGCATAGCCGAAAATCTCTTGTGGACGAGTTGTACGAAAGACCATACCCTACCTTTATACAGGTTGACTTGCCAAGTTCCTTTATCAAGCATGGCGCCCAAAAAGAAAGACCTATAAATGATCACTAGATGATTTATCTGGTGGTCTTGTTTACCTTTCCCAATGCAGCACCATACAATCCTTTTATACGACTTTAAAAAAGCACCCCGTCCATTACATACTCCTTTGGTAAAAATCTTCATATATTGGGGGACGCATTTGGTACTAGGGGATGTTTCAGCTTATTCTGAAGAGATTAGCATCGCTGCCCTTCAACAGTCTGCATAGGCTGTCGAGTAAAGGCTTCCAACTTGAGATTTCTGCTCTGGATTTTCACTTAGCCCACATTACCCTAGGAAGAAAAAAGGATCCTTTTAACATAAATATAGGGAATCCCATATCCCAAAAAGGATATAAGGATCCCTAACATTGATCCAGTTCAAGCTTCTGGACATCTCCTTCATTGTTCAGCTTGAGTGGGGCTGAGGGCTTAGGATTAGGGATTTGGGTTTACTTACTGGTGGTTAGAAGGGAATCAGGGAATGTAATCCCTTTATAACATATTCCCTTCTTCCCTACCCTAAACCCTAAATCCTGTATTTCCTCCTTCTCTAATCAGAACCAATAAAATACGGGGTTTGGGAATGGGTTATAAGGACCACTACATACACTGATGCGGAATGTTTAGAGGGATCTTACCTGTAGGGTCTAGGATTATACATGTTATGGGAAACTATTAACTGTAAGAGACTATAATGGAACTATGCTTATTATGAGAGACTGCACCCTAAACCCTAAACCCCTACACCCTAAACCCTCAACTTGCTTTGCCCCAACCAAGGCTTTAGGTTCAAGCCTCAATACCTACACCCTAAACGGACCTAGGGCCAACCAAGGGGCATGACCCGCTTTGTGTCCCCCAAGCCAGCGGCCGATAAGAGCTCCTGGCTCTGGAGGAAGCATTGGTCCTAAGCCGCTGGTTTAGGATTTAGGGTTTAGGATTTGGGGCTTAGGGTTTAGGGTTGGGGTTGAGGGTTTAGGGTTTAACTGCTTCAGGGTTTTGGGGTTAGTGGTGACACTAAGTACAAGCACATCGGGATATAAACATAGGAATAAACAGCGTTCTATAGGCGCAAGTGACTGTGTGGGTTCAGCTTTGCGCTTACGATTTAGGAATCAGGGTCTGGGGTTTGGGTTGAAGATAATATGCCTAGAGCTCTCCATGAAACAGCCCGATATCTGGATTCTGAAGCTAAAGCCCTACAGTCCGCCTTAAGCAGATGGAATACGTGGTATATGGGCATCTCATTATAATACCACTTAAGGGGGGCTATACACCGTACACTCTGAAGCCTAAACTCCTGAACACTTAAACCTGGAGGCCTGAGCCCCAAACCTTAGTCATCAACATCCTGAACCCTAAACCCTAAACCCTTAACCCGAAACCCCAAGCCTCTCTGCTTGCCTGTCCAGTGGCTGCATCTGGGCACAGCTTCTTCAGACTCGGCTGGCCCGTTCCCCAAGCGTAGCCTATGGCAGGAGGTTGGGGTTCTTTTAGGTTTACACTCCCCCAAACTAACATGGAAACCCATATCGTCCCCTTTTAGAAGGACTGTGGTCTTTATAGGGCCCTTTTTGGGTTGCCATGTTAGTTTCCGGGAGGTAGGATTCAGCGTTTGGGGCTTAGGATCTAGGATTCAAGGTTTGGGATCTAAGGTTAGGGTTTAGGATTCAGGGTTGGGGCAAGGGATAGACCAAACAGTAGTTTCCCATGTTCTTTTCCATTGTCCTTTTATATCAATACTATATAGTAGTTTCCATGTTGTTTTGCATTATCCTTATGCAACCCCTGCAAGGGAACGACTGAGAGAATAAAGGCTGACTGAATGCTGAGAGAAGCCTCTATAGTCTATGGACAGAAGCGCTGCTCCAGCTTCGTGCAGCATCTCTGCAATATCCTTAGGCTTGTCTGTCTGAATAAGGCCGGCTTGGAGGTTTCATAGATAGGCTATGGGACCCTAAACCCGAAATCCTAAACTCTAGGCCTGCAATAAGGCGTTGAGGATCCGCAAAGCAGGTCCCACACACTTGCAAGAAACTTTAGAGGCTTTTAAAACAGGATTCCCCTCAATTTGTACTAAGGAAGCAGTACCCGCTGTCCCAACAAAACCATTTCAATCATCGCCATGTGTCATCCATGGCTGTACACACTTCTGCATTGCCGTGGAAGAAATACATGACCTGGGTGCGCTTTCAGGACTGTAATGGAGGAGCCATTTTGGAGCACATTACACCATGTTCACAGAAGGATGACAAACGGAGACCTGTGGTAATCATTTAGGTTTCTACATGTCATTAAGGATGTTTAAGGCATTCATGCGCAGTGTCTGCTTTTACCCAATAAAAATGTGTAGAAATGTTGCAGAGCAACCCAGTGACAGTTTTCACAGCAGCCGCGTCTTTGGGCATGTAGAATCGATAACTTATCTTGGTGCCGTCGGACATCTCGAAAGTTCCGTCCCGAATTGGACCGCTGGAATCCAGAAATTGCGGTTCAGCTTTGCCTTAGGTCCCGCTGGTGCCACGAAGCACTAGGTAGTTGTTCCAAGTATTCTCCAAAAAGCATGCCGTCCATGCTACAAACATGCATGACCTTGGCCGGCTATACTTTGGATGGACCCACCACCCTGTAATAGTGACTTTAAAGGAAAAAGAATTATATTAGGACCCTCTTATATTCCTGTTATAGCACTATGACAGGGTGGGGGTCATCCTAGATTCCCATAGTATAAGGTACATAGGGCCATGCATGCTTTTTTCTTCGCGAAATCGATAGGTCCCTCGAAACCAAGTGAGCTATAGTCTAAGCTCCTAGCATCCCCCTTAATAATCCCAACCATACTCTGCTGTATAATCCTTTATGTAACCCCATAAAAGGAGTTCAGACTATAACTTATATGATCCGTGTATAACCTTACTATATATGGCAGCTTCCATTTCATTTCCATGTTCTTTTCCATCTGATTCTCCATCAATGGGGTAGTAGATCATGTACTATAGTTCGAGTCCCTAACCCTAAACCCTAAACCCCTAACCCCCCCATCCCTTTTAATGGCTTTCTTCGCAAGGCGCCCACACCAGGGTTTAGGATGCAGTCATGGCTGCTGAGCTTCTGGAAAGTCTAGGCCCTTGAATCCTCACAGGTTAGCGTCTATAGGTTTTAGGATCTTAGGGTTTCTGGGTTTAATAGGTTTAAGGGCTTTAGGATTTAAGGTTTTAGGGTTTAGGGATAACACCCTGGTGTCTCTCGCCGACAGTACCCGCTTGGGGTTTAGGCTTCGCCCGTCAGACAGGTTACCATGTTGCTACTGTTTGCCAGAATAATTACGAATAATGTTCTTTTTCAACCTAAATAAAACCCTAAGCCCCAAACCCTAAATAATAGCTTCCGTTTTGTTTTCCGTTATGCTTATATAACCCCTATATACCACTTGTTCAGTGCCCCCGCAGTCTCCCGAAACCCTACGTAAACGGTTAAGGCTTAGGGTTTAGATTTGAAGGTTGAGGGGTTATGGTTTTCCACATTAGGCCCAGCTGCTTGGGTGGAAGGCAATGCTGGTGACCATGGGATTGTCCCATATCGCCTGTAGCAAACTTGAAATGACATTCAGGGTTTAGGATGATATTCGAACTCTAGGGTTTTTGCAAGTGGTGGCCCAGGTCTGGGGTACTGTACCCCTGAAGTGTGTCCCCGAGTTACGTTCAAAATCTAAAGCTAAAAGCTCACAGACATACGGACCCTCCATCAAGGGCATCTCAGTTTGAGCGCGTCGGGAACTGTTCTCAAAAATATGGGTCCATTTTGCTTGTAAACATAATATCTTTATGTGACGGCACCTAATTTAGGGGTACGAAACAGGAACTCAACTCTTGGGAACTACCCTCATCCCCAAACCCTAAACCCTCAATGATGCTGCAACTCTTCACCGCAAGGTCCCTGGAACAAACCGTCTACTGTTGGCCTGATTTGCCCAAATTCTGAAGCAAACAATAACAAGCTAGGCCGGACTTTGACATGGAACGCGGACCCCAAGCAAGGTTTAGGGTACTTGGGATTTTGGGTTTAGGGTTTAGGGTTCTAAGCTTAGGTCCCTGTTTTAGACATATCCAACACCCTCAAACCAGAACGTAAATTTCGTGACAGAAGGTTGCACCGTAAAGGTCAGCGGAATTCCATGGAACCCCTGTTTGGTGGGAGCCTCATGTTTGTGAGGTCCGGTAAAGGAAGAAGCCAAAGAGGAAAGGCGCCCAAACCATGTAATCCCTGAACCTCAAACCTTCAACCCTTAATCCTAGATCCTCCTGTAGTGGCAAGGCCTCGCCTCGAACATTTTCCATGCCCGTTGCGAAGTATTTTCCTCGATGCGTATGCAACCCTGGATATCCTTACAAATCCCTAGAGGAAGTTCCCTCAGAATACGACTTCAATCCTAAACCTTGAACCCTGAACCCATGAGCAACTTCCAGATGGCCTCCAGTCCTCCTGCACCACCGGCGGCCCCACCCAGGGCCCCCAGAAGACCTTGCATTTAAGCTCAAGGTCAAGCGGGTTTAGGGGGTCCCGTTTAAACCCGGGGTTCTACAGCGAGTGTATGGGAAGATATAGTACGAGTTCTAATTTGGAGACTACACAGAAGCCCGGAAGGCTCGAGCTCCAAAGCAACAAGGGGATTTGGGATAGTCCAACCCCCCCCTTCACGGCCAACAAAAAAGGAACCTATGACTCTGATATCGCTGCTATAGGTTCCTTGTTCTACAAGTTGGCGTTGTCAAAATCCCTTTGTCATACCCCCTCTAAACTATTCCCAGGCCTTCAGGCCCTGTAACAGTCAAACTTCCCAAATGTTCCGACATGGTGGACCCCTTTCGGAGGGATGGGGGGTCTATATTTGAGGCACTTACATGCAAAAAAGTTTGCCCTTTCAACTATTCAGTTCACCACTAACCCTCAACCCTGCAATGAATCCTTGCACCCTTCAACCCGAAACCCCTAGCCCCTAGACCCGAAACCCTAAAACCTATAGCATCCTAACCCCTAAACCCCTAAGCCCAAAGCCCTGCAACCCTAGCATCCTGAAAGCCCAACTACAAAGCGCGGTCCAAGAAGCCTTCGAGCCCCTGAGCTGGGAAAGCCATGCCCAGATCTGGGGAGACCTACCTATCCTGGGTTGCTACTGTTTAAGGGTTTAGCGGTTTAGGGTTTAAGGTTTAGGGTTAGGGATTTAAGGTTTAGGGCTTAAGGAACTTAATTCAAGTTACTACAATCAGGAACCCTTACTGCAGTATCTAGGGCTTAGGATTTAATGCTTTAAGGTTTAGGGTTTAGGGCTTAAGGAACTTAGAGTAACTGCGTGGCACTTAGGACCTCTATTAAGGGTTAACCCTTAGATACCTGAAATAGGAGTATAAAGGCATCCCAAAAAATTGAAGGTCTCGCATGGCTCAAAGCCAAAAACGGAACTTGCCCTGAGTATGGATCTCTTCGCTCCGGTCTCTTGAGAAGAATACCTTTGTCTTCGTGGCCTTGATGGGCGGCAATGTGGAGCGCCGTGTTTCCTTGGGATCATTTTGGCCTGTGACCTGCCGCAAGAAGTTGCGGTTGACTTCCGGATGTGTCAGATGCAGTTGTCGTTGGCCTGCTGTTGCCACTGCTGGAAGCCGCGAGAGACGTGGTATCCTTTTGCCAGGGAGCCATCCAAGTCTGCGTCCACGAGGTTGAGCCGCACTCACTCACTAACCTTATCCTACGTATACGTTTACGTACGTACGTATACCTGACGCCCTCATCCAACCTTACATATCCTACGTAAACAACGCGACCCAGACAGGTACGTACGTAACTGCAGTCAAGTCCCAAGGAGTTAAGCTACCATAATCAGGAACCCCCACAGTAGTATTTAGGATTATTTAGGGCTTAGGGTTTAGTTACTATAGTAAGGAAGTCCTATTGTTCGGGGTTTAAGGTTTAGGGCTACTATAATAAGGAACTTACATTACGCTAGCATGGTAGGGAAATCGTATTATTTGGGGCTTCGTGTTTAGGGTTACTATAAAGAGGAAACCCAAGTATCGACTGTATGCCCATCATATGGTAACTTAATTTAAGCTCCTTAACAACAATCCAGTCTGGCTAGCAGGGAATGACGGACTGGATAGGACAATGGAAACTACAGGACTAGATCAACATTAGGAATTATACAAGGACTACTGCAAGGATCCATTCCTTCATTCCTTGTTAAGCAGAGGTAAGGAGACAAGCAAATTTCCAGCGAAGAGAAGTGAGGATCCTTTTTTGGGAGGTCTTTATACATACAAAGGTGATCCCTTTTGGGAAGGGTATTTATAAGGGAAGCTGATTTTTGCTCGATGTCAACTTGAGCTCAAACTGGCTGCGCAGCGCAGATTGGGGCTTTCCAGGGCTGGATGGGCATCATACAAGTGTCATGCGAGTCCCTCATATTAAACTTAAGTAGATGGAATATGGCTTTGGGTATATTATAATAAGATCCCCATATACCCCATATTCTCTCTACCTAAGGCGGACTATGATATCACCCATAATCAACTGGACCCCGTGCTCAACTGATGATCCCGATATACCCCTAGGGTCTTCGGGACACCCTTAATTCGAGAGACGCCCTCATTGGATCCACAGAATTAATCGTTATAGCTGAAGAAGTAGTTATAGAAGTAATGATACTACTAACAGTCATATTCGCAGTAATAATAGCTAGACATGTAAAAATTGGACTAAACATGCTTACAACAAGCTATTAATCGTTTCTGCGAGCATGCAGCATCTCCTCACGTGTGGAGATGTCCAAATTTCATGACTCAACTTCCTCAGGTCTTCACTAGCATTACCCTAGAAAAGCAGTCTTAATCCTCAAAACCCTACATCCCAAAGTGCTTTCTATACTCTCACGTCTTGGGAGTTAATAAACACGAACCCAAATCCTGAGCAGTGTAAGGGTTGGACCCAACGCTTTTTCGGCAACCTCTGTGCCGATGTTCCCCAAGGCAATGGCGGCCTCGAGGACGGATTTGACGGGATTGCGGTTTAGGGTTAAGGGCTTAGGTTTGGGGACCACTGCGACTGGTGCCTGTAGGAAATTCGAATGATTCTGAAGGATTACAAGCTCGAGGTCTCCGTCATGTTCGTTCGGAATTTCGGGCTTGTGGGCTGGGAGTTCGAGATGGGTTCGATCCATTGAAATGTGGAGCTTAAATGAGGATATCTTTTCCTGGTTTGGGAAACTCCTGTCTCAATAGTTGTGTGTCCCATCCCAGTATGGCTACCCAATTAGCATTCGATCACACAAGCTACTCAAGAAAATCAAAGAGCTGGGATTGGACTGAGCCCTTGTGCAGCAATAAGAAGCTCGCATTAAAACTAAACAAGAAAGGAACGAAACCATACCGTGGCATGAATACGGTTTAGGGTT